GAGCACTGTATGTTTGCTTCACAAAATCTATGAATTTATTAACGATAGGTGGAATACCAGCTGTTGCTTCACTGGCAGGATAAGAGGGACTAAGGGTTGAATTATTTCTTGGTCTTTTGGCAGCCGGAGAATAAGTAGGAAGTACAGACGGTGTTGATTCAAGAATTTGTTTTGTATAACGTTCCTGAGAATGTTTTCTCTCCTCTTTTTCTCGTTTTCTCTTTCTTTTACGTCTGTCAGTAAAGTGCTCAGTGGGGAAATGCTGCTGTAGTTCCATGTTTTGAGGATAAACACTACTTGAACCTCTGTCAGAAGACAGGTCACTCACTGGGTGTGACTGGGATGAAGAGCAAGGGATGTACTGGGACTCAATCTGACTAGCTAGGACCTGTTCATGAACTGCAGCAGATCTGAGGGCACTCACTATGTCATGCCATGTCAACAGTGGTAGCTGCCTTAAACGATACTCAAGAACCTTGTACAGTTTCTCATCGAAATCATAGAGGCTCTTCTCAATTCCTGCCAGAACATGGTGCTCTATATTTATCTTGCTCCCAAATAAAATGCACTTATGTGCAATTGGTGTGAGAGCATCTTGTACCATCGACAAATCATTTATCGTTAACTGCTGCGTACCAGGTGCTCTATAATTTGAAGCCATTTCTGCCACAGGAGAAATACTTAGGTGGTCTAGGGAGTGTAAAGCACCCTTGGAAACAGGAGCGGAGGGGCATTTACATGACATTGTTGAAGGAAGTGCTGACGCTGCATGTCCACCAAAAGATTACTAGGGTCAATGGTAGTAGACAAGTCACTCACTGGCTGAGATGAAGAGCAAGGGATGTACTGGGACTCAATCTGACTAGCTAGGTCCTGTTCATTAACAGAAGGAGATCTGAGGGCTCTCACTATATCATGCCATGTCAACATTGGAGCCTGCTGCAAGCGATATTCAAGCACTCTGGACAGTTTCTCATCAAAAGTATAGTAACCCTTAGAAATACCTGCCAGCACATCGTGCTCAACCTTGACTTCGCTTCCGAAAACAAAAAATTTGTGTGCAACGGATTTCAGAATATCTCTCAATAGTGGCAAATGCTTAACTTTTAACCGTCCTTTTTTCTTCCGTTTTTCTGTTACTCTTTTCCTTTTATGCAGGCGTTCAGAGGGAACATGCCGTCGGTGCATTTTTTGAAGATAAACACCGGTACTTGAGCCTCTGTCAGAAAAGTGAGCATGCACTACCTCCGACTGGGATGAGGAGCAAGGGATGCTAGTACTTGAAGTCATTACTGTGAAGAAAAGTTTTAAAAAAATTGGTTGAAAACAAGATGGAAAAAAATGAGGCCCTCTATAATAGGTGGCCACAAGCCCTGACAAAGTGGACCACAGTTATTTTTTTGTATGCAATGGGCACTGCACATACTGCAATGTTCTATGGAATTCTAAATACGCACGAAAAATTGAACGTCGTTCTATATACATGAACAGCTCACACTCGCTCGCTGAAAATGTGTGGCATTCATTTAGTATCTAATGGCGGCATTCACATACAGTAATGTTTACTCATGCAAATGTACACGAGAAATGATGTGTTGCTTTTGGTATTAGTTAATGTACCCGCGCGAGTGCGCCTCGTGCTTTATTAGCCTCTCTACGCATTCCTCGTACGTTATATCCGGTAGTGCATGAGCATAAGCGGGTACATTAACTGATTTAGTGTGAAAATACGGAGCGTTTGAAAAGCGAAGCGGAAAAATGGCGGTTCAGTCAGCGTGGGCGATGCTACGAAGCGTTTGACTTGGGCATGGGAGACTGGACGGACGAGCCGGAGGAAACGTCGGTACAGCCTCCTCCTCCCGAGAAAAGGCTACGCCTCTCTCTTGGCAAGGAAGCGCGCCCTCTGCGAGACACCACAAATCTCCGTTTTGCTGAGCCCATGAGTACTGCGGAGCTAGAGAACGCAGCCGAAGGGCCCTCCTCTTCTACCGAGTCGGTTCCGTCTGACCTGTTGATGAGCCACGATGCAGATTTGATGTATGCCGTTTCGTGCATTTCGCATTTCCAACTGATCTGTCAGTCACTCTCTGCATTTGTATAGTACATAGTACATCAAACAGTGTTGTCTAAACTATGAGCCAATAAAGCACTGGAGGAAAGCACTGCCTGAACAATGCAGCAGTGCTCAATATGGCAAATAAAGCACTCCTTTTCCTTTGATGTTTTGTGCTAATTCTTTAAAGTGAGTTTGAGCACATAAAGTTACAAGTGGAAAATAATTTGAATGGGGATGTAGGGGATGACACATCATAAAAAAGATGGGAACAAGAAGATGCCTACACTGAGACAGGAAGTGATTCATAACCCCATCCCTACATCTTTGTTTCATACTAGCTTAAGCAGTTTAGCTATGTATACTCATGTATTCATAACGTATGAGCGATTTCTCGAGTGGAGAGGCAAGTACGGTGCTTTGGAGACTATCACAAGATAAATTATGGGCCTGTCTGTGATTTTGGCTTAGTTTTCATGCTAGCCATTCTCTCCAAGTTTGGGGCCGTTTTGTAGGCGGATCACATGAGATTTCACTCATGCCATCCATACATAGAGCGTTTACCGACGCTATGATGATTATGCCAAGATCCTGAAGGTACTGTGCGACCCTCTGCCTATGCCAGCAGATCTCTACAACCACATTACGGGTCACAGAGCTGGAGGGGCTTGGCGTTGTTCGGAGCGGTCAACCACTCTTGCCCCTCACTTGTACGGCCATCGGTGTGAAGTCTACGCAGATACTCTGCATTGACATAACTGCTAAGTACACTGCAACCATGGGGAATAGCGATTCAAGAACTTGACAGGTAGATAGGATTTGCTGGGGCACAGCAAAGCCCAATGTGGATGCCCTGTTAAAGTCAGCTCTGCCGACAGGAGAGAACTCGAGCATGGTGACACAGAAGGAGTGTTTTTAAACCTGGAGAAGAGACTGAGCCAGAGACAGACCTACCTTGAGCTAGCGAACAGACAAAGATCTGGCTGGTGTCTTAAGAGGTCACAGTACGGTCTGGAAGATGTTCTGTACAAGATCGACCAAGACAGCACCATGCGAGTGATTGAACCCAGGGATCGGAGGGAACGACTGTTCAAGGACACCCACGGAGGAATGTTTGGAGCACACTTAAGTGACACAAAAGTCAACTGAGAATTCTACCGTCATTACTAGTCGAGTGGGATGCGCAGAGACATACGATATTTAACAGTGCATGGAGGCAGTGCGAGGGTGGTGGGATGAGAAAAGTAAGCAAGCAGGTGTGAGCATGCACATGTACAGGCACTGGCGCGAATGCAGCGCAAACCTGGTGCGCATGTGCCAAGTACAGGCCACGTGCGGGTGGCTACACATTGAGGCCCAGGTTGTGTGCATTGGTGCACACTGCTGCTAGTGGCAAAAAACTTTGGTTTGGCAAAGCTCCATATTTCGTACAGAGGATTGGACAGCCCGGGGACGTAGCTCTGCTCACAGGAGAAGTGGCAGCGGCAGTGGCCTCGGTGTTGGAGAATCACTCCATACGAGTGCGCCAATTTCATCAGGTGAGCGCTTGAATAGTGGCTGTAGATCACGGAGGCGCATAGGGCAGCACAAAAATATTGTTCTCTGCCTTTTCCATATATCTCCCAGGGTTCTTATCTGGACAACAACTCCCTGATCACGACAGCTGCAGCACGGAGAAAGAGACATGCGCAGTTCGCCGAGGGTTTGCACTTTAGTGCTTTTCATTTGGTACAGTACATATACAGGCCTTGGAATATGTAGAATTGTGTCAAATGCTACCTGACAATATCACATTGGTGGGGAGGCTGCCCCTGGGTCTGGCTCCCCGTAAGCCTCCTGGGTGGGGACCTTGCTCTGGCGAAATGGGCATCTTTTGCGATATATGTCGCAATAGTAGTGGAAGCCCACACGGAAAGAGTCAGGGATATGCTGACATACCTCTGCCTGTGGTGCAGGAAACAAGCAAGTTTGGGGATGGCAGGCTCACGTATGATGCCGTGTCCCGTCCTGCATCAAGATTACATCATCAAAGGTATTGCCAACAAAGTCGTCGCCCCTTGCAGATATTTTCACAAAGCAGACCACCAGTCATTAGAGCGTACAGTGGAGGCAATCCTTCGCAGACGTATCCTACTGACACTGACCATGCTACTCCATCGGAATGCCCTGCATTGGCAAAGGGGAAATGGCCTGCCTACTACCCTCATCAGCAGCCAGTCTGCTACTCGTGTGTCAGCGGCCAGTCTTCTTATGAGTCAGCGGCCAGTCTGCTTTTCGTAAAATGCAGGGTCCTGCGAATACCCTGGGAAGTGTTGTGTTGCCCATCTGTGCACTTATTGACCGGTACACAGGAACACATCTCACCCGGCGAACTGGAGCACAACAGGACAGAAGGTGAAGGAACTTCTGGACATGTGGCTACAACTTAGAGTATATCTAGCTTGAGCCTAGCATTATTTGGTAGCTGCGTGGCTGGAAACACGTGGTATAACTTGAATAAAATGGCACTTGCTCGCGGTTTACGGGCAGTATTAGCGAAATATTATTCTAACATTGAGAAGGGCGGTAGTTGGGTGCATATGATGATGGTCGTGTACATAGGGTGTTACTCCATAATAACACGCTGGACTCGTAGACAAGCTGTTTGTACCCCACTAGTGCCCATTCCAGTGGCTGGACCATTCAACAATTGGGAGTTGATGTAATCCACATGAAGACAGACAGACTTGTGGAAAGGTTCAGGACCGCAATGATGGCCAAGACAGTAAAATGAGAAGGGAATCACAGACTGCCTTTCGTTCTGTGTGCTTACAGAGCAACAGAGTACCTTAGAGTTCTTCTTCCCGTGTAAAATATCGTGAGTGTAAGCGTGCACAGATGGTGACAGCTGCGAAATATCAGGCTTTTATGCACTCAAGCGGGAAGTCACGCAAATTTACGCAGACTGAGCGTCCCCACGTAAACGCGCGACGGTGTGCCACAATCCCCGGCGTATTCTATATGCTCACAGTATTTCGCGAAGAAAACGCTTCCACGAGCATAGCCGTGCAATGACACACCCACGTTTGTGGGGAATAGTACTCTAAAGTACAAATACTTGCGGGTGTGACCATATGGCAAGCGAAGTGTAAGAAAACTAAATGGCACGTTCAAGACATGTGAAACATATGTTCATACGGACGTACGTGCGTTTCAAACATACGTTCATACTGATGGTTCAAACGTACTGATGGTCCATACAATGACGTATGCGTATCCGTTATGCGCATGCGCATTATCGTACCACGAGTGTTCGGCGCAGTTGAGTATGGCTCTCAGTTTCGTTGCTCATGAAGTGATATGCGACTTTGAAGGAAGGAGGAGGCCTGTGTCATTTTGTTACTCTGAAGCTAACAGCGTGCATGATAGCCTGTTTTCTGTCGTCTGCCGTATATACGTCCATCGGCAGACAGAGTTTCCCAACTACGGGGCGTTCTGCCCGGATTGAAAAATTCAGAAAATGGGTGTGTACAATTATTGCGCATGTGTAAACACTATGCTCAGTTAGGCTCTGGGTATAGAGTAGCACTTGAAAGGCTTTAGGCTAGTAGGGGATTTCCCAACAGGAAGTGTGAAATGTTTTTCAGCCAGAAAGCTGAGGTAACGCTGGACACGCTGCTGTGTCAAGATAACACGCTTCTACACGCTGCTAGGATGGCTCGTGCAGAAACAGTCATTGTGTGCTCACTCTGTACGTACGTTTAAACCATCAGTATGAACATACGTTACGTACGTCGGTATGAACGTACATTTTAGATGCACGTATGTGTCTCTAACGTACGTTTACGCGTCTTGAACGTGCCATTTAGTTTTGTTACACTTCGCTTGCCATACGACCGCGCTTGTTTACACTTTACTGCGTAATAGCACACCCATGGCGTGCATAATAACGCGTAGTAAAACAACCATGAAAAAATGTGCCAATACCTATATTTGCGCCCATTGTTTACATGGGTTGCTGTACAGCCAAGACCCTCAGCTGCCTCAGAGTAGACAAAGAGGCCAGTAGGCCAGACAACATGTCAGAGACCTGGCAACTGGCAAGGCAGTGTATTCGGGGAGTCTAGAAAAGCATAACTTCTATGACCAGAAGGGTCGGCCCGAGGCAGAGAACGAGGGTTCTTGTTCTAGCCAGCAGACAAGACTGAATATGCACGGAATTTTGCAAGACTCTTTCACGGACCCTTCCGACTCACACTCTAACATGGCTAAGATCCAGAGGATTGATCAGCCAGAGGAAGAGACCATACTATTTGCACTAGAGTGACTTCATCATGAAGTGCCAGAGTTGTTTTGCCCGCCTGATCAACCCAAGTCACGATAGTCAGGGAGTTGAGAAGGAACCAGTCTCGGAGGAGAAACCTCTAGCCTCATCCCTTCAATTCCAAGCTAATTTCTGGGAGGAACAGCATTCAGTGAGTCCTGGAGAAAAGCTAAGGATGGGCAAAGAATATCCTTCAAGCAGAGACTGTGAAGAACCACCAGCGTGGACCCACCTATCCGGCTAGCAAGTCCCGACAGTGGATCTGACAGTGGAGGGGAATGGCTCACACCACCTGCACTACCTCTGACTGGAGACGCCCCTTACCCTGAAGACACTACGGCCGGAGATAGGCCCCGGCACAGCAAGTGGCCGGTCACCTGTGGAAGAGGCATGGGAAGAATAAATCAGCCATAGATGTCTGAACGCCAAGGGGAGGTGTAATGACTGTACATACTCTATTGTCCGTACTTTTTTTCTTTCTGTGCCCATATCACGTGTGTAAAATGGACTGCACCGGCAGTTACACCAGGCAGAGCTAAGTTTGATAGAAAGAGATAACAACTAACTCTCACGAGAAACGAGCACATTGTAGGCACTACACATTCATGTATTATGAACTTGATCTATTTAGGCCACTAACAACGCAAAAAAGACGAGACAAAAGAGGCAGTGGTAGGATTAGAACTAACGACCTCCGGTGCACAAATGCATTACCTTACCACCTCAGTCAACCAGCAATGTATTGCGCTAAAGTTCAACCTTACTCCTCGAAAATTGTCATAACTTTTAAAAACACTAACACCATTGGAATCTTCGCAACTTCCCCATTCTGCCTTCAATCACCATGAAACCTAGTCTGTACATATGTCCCACAAGAAAAGTATGCCATGTAAGTACAGTATGTGGTGCCAGTATAAACAGTTTACACAACCACTATATACCAGGGCTTAGGTGAACTTTAGGCCCCATTCCCCCAAGCGTGACTATGCACACATACTTTATTAAGTGCACGCAGCAGCGCAGAGAGGGGAGAGGGTCAAGCAGATGACATTACTCGCATCAGGGCTACTGGATCAATGAATGGCATGCACTCGACAGTGTGCGTGCACATGCAATCATGTTAAAGCTTATTAGTTTTAAAACCTTTTTTTCACTACACCAGCAAAACTTTAATATCCAAAAAGTAATTCATGTATGTAGTTTAGACTATCAACACAGCGAAAATATTTAGGGTGGCAGTTTCCAAGAGGGGGCGGGGCAGAGAGAACCCAAGAAAGGTAACTCAAAGAAATAAAGGAATAGAGGAGGAAACGTTACCACTTAAAGAGGTATGAACACGAACTGTAGATTAACGCCTGCTTTTGAAGCAGTATTGAAACCCGAAGCAGTTATCCAAAGGGCATGTACAGTAAAAAGCTTAGAGATATCTGTTACCACTGAAGGTGAGTTGCTTTCTGGCTCACTCTTGCCGTTGTATTCCAATCGCCAGATATGATGTCTTTCCTTGCTAGTGCAGTAGCCACTTATATGCCAAAAAAGGTAACAGAAGTAGGCTGCAATGCAATTGAGTAGGCAATGATACAGTTTCTCTCTCTCTCTACACGCCACACGCACATAGCTTGATAGACTTGTAGTTCGGCAGCAGTTGTCAAAACAAACACATCTGCTATCACATAGCTCACAAGAGACTACTATGTCATAATTATTCTGCCTGTCAACTGTCAAAACAGGGGCACCTCAACACTAGAGAAAGGTAGAAATTTCAATTGGCAACGATCACCACTGGTTATCCTCGTGTGATGCAGCTGGACTAGCTCAGGCAAGGCTCGTAATGAACAGACCCTTTGCAGTAGGCCTGGTAAAATGACGCGCCCGCCATATTTTAGGACAACCGCGCGTACGCTAATACACTGTAAATCGAAGGAATCTAGCTTACACCGCAACACATGAAATAGTAGGCATGGCCAAATGAAGTGCCAGCCTTACTGGAGGACAACCACGTGTACGCTAATAAATGGTGATTCCACATGGTCTTGGCTGCTCAAACCATGAGACACAAGCCAGGAAAAGTCGTTTTAACGATGTAGCTGCCGTAGGAAGTCATCAGGGAGTGCAGACAATGCCTACATGCCGTGACTAGGTGGAACGGAGAAGCATTGATCAAGACAAAAATGCCTTTAATTATACACCAAGCAGAGGCAGACCAAAGTCAGTTATGATTAGAACTGTCCTGCAGGACAAGATCACGTGTGAGCAATATTTGCTGAATCAGCACTCCCAAATATATGGGCTTTCTCGTTCAACCAATCTCCAAGGAATTTTCGGCAATCTAGGCCGTGGCTGAAGTTTTTCTCTTGACAGAGTGAAGGAGGCACCTTAGAAGATCAAAAATCTGTGGTGGAACCATGGTGGAAGCATCTGACCTTGATTTTCCACTCCCGTCTACTACCATTTGACTCAATCCAAGGTACGTCAGGCTATCCAATTGCTGCACAAATACAGCAAGGTATGAGCAGTAGACAGTGGATAGCATCAGGCCAAGCCACACACCAAAATTGTTGTAGCCTAGCTACTCCACAGATACCTTTGTAGAATTCCGTGAAGAAAATCCGCTAAGAACTTGTGCTTTGTGTCGATCATACCGTTTCTACAACGGTTTCTAGTATAGGACCACTTTTCGATAGCCTGTTTGTCTTGAGACTTGGTAACGGAGTTTTTAAGGGACGTGGGCACGAGGGCGAGTACCAGCCCATGTCCTCAGACTTCCTTTATCATATCGCTTACTATGCATACTTCCAATACAACGCTTATGAGCATTGGCATGTATGGAACGCGCGTTTTTGTCATGTGGTTCTTACGTAACTACGCAAGCTTGTCCTACCCTCCCTGACTGCTCACCTTCTCTCCTTAGTTTCGTCACAAGATCCCCATATACTGCATCATGGGAAAATATACTGACAAACTCGAGAAATAGGCGATTTCTTTCATCTGAGAAACGTATTCTTGCAAACACGGCGTCCATTAGCTGACTTGCTTGTCGAACAGGCGGCACTCCATATGTACCGAGTATTCCCTGAGCCTCTGATTGAGCGATAAAGGACTTTTCCACCAGGCGGTTTGCAAACCACTGAAGAGTTCCTTGGACAGCAGTTACGGTACCTGTAATAAACACGAGGTTAGTTCTTAGTGACGTGATCTCAACGGGTTCTCCGCCCGTGTCTGCCATCCCCCAGAAACAACGTCGTCAGCAAGTTGGTGTTGTTTGACCTTTGGTACCCTCACCGGGCCACACACAACCGTATTGTTCCCCGCCCACATACTTACGCATGTGCAGAGAGAGTCCGCGTGCTCAACGCGTGCCACGCACGCGGTTAAGGGAAATAAAAAAATAGTGTGGAATATAGGGATGCTATAAAAAGCAAGGAGACAAGACAGTGAACGTGATGCAGTAGTAATTGTTCTTTTTTGTTGTTTACATGTAAACAAAATTGTTTAGGAAGAAATTTAAAAAAGCTCTTGCACCACCTGTCATGGATTCCAATATCTGTGCAAAGTTTCATCTCCATATCTTACCCGGTTTTTGAACAACAACAACAACAACAAGAATTTTGAAAACTAACTTTCCTGAATAAATCAAGTACTTACCGATTATGCCATTTCTTGGATAAATGCTCTTTGTGACGATACAGATCAGTCTCATGTATCAAAAGTTGGATCTGATTGAAACTGAAAGTGAAACATGAAAATCCCAATGTATAGGCATAATTCAGGATGACCTGTGTCATCACTATTATATTATACTACGTACTACCGTACTTAGTGATAATTCAAGTCTGGGGCGTTCTCCTGATGCGGACATGCAGTGCCTTTCAGGCACTTCAGGTTGATCTTTCTATGTTGGTTTGTGCGGACTAGACAGGTAGTAGCTGTCAACGGTCGTACAATAGGTTTAGCCTGTGGGTTTCTTCTACTACCCAGCCATGTTGTAGTCTGATTAGCTAGCTCAGTAGCTATTAGGGCCCGCCAATGCAATCACTACTGTTCGTACAAATTAATGTTAATAAAGGAAGTAGCTAATCTAATGCCGAACAAAGTGAGACTGTCTACCTGCCACCCGGGGTGCGACAAAAGGCATCATACACGAGGTAACAAAACTCATAATCAGCTGTTTTTAACGACCCACAACTGCGCATGCACATGCCTATACGCTGCCTGATCCTCGATACGGGATCTAGCCAGCGAGAAAACTCTCGCCCATTCGGCAGGAATCGCTGGCGGAGGCTGTACGTCTTCCCAATCTTCGTGGTTCCCAACAAACAAGTTTGTAGGTAAATGGGCTATATAGGATGGCTCGTACAGATACAGTTATTGTGTGCTCGCTCCGGTCCCGCCCGCCAAAAATGCATTCGCCTACTAGTTATTCAAAGATGACAAGTTGAGTAAAGGCCTGTGTTACAAGTCGCCCTTCGACAACGCGAGAAATTTGTCGCGCACCCGGGCTTTTCGTAATCACGACTCCGCTTCGATAATTCTCCAGCCAAGAATGTTATGTTATCCACATGCAGCCAAAATACATTCCATAAGACAATAAAAATCTATAATAACCTTGACAGAGTCACTATTATGACTTTACAGCACATTAGGAAAATGTGATACGAAAAGTACACTGCTGAATGTCAGCTAGAGGTATACACCAGTAGCCTATGACACATAGCTAACAGAACAAAAAACAAACATATAATATACTTAGATTAGTTCAGGAGAGAGGTGTCAAAGTTGGGGGAGATCAAGATGAAGAGAAGAGTGTATCGTGTATCTCAACTTGAAATGCAAGGCTGATCGAGTTTGGTCAGATGGCCCTTTTTTTTATTTTATGAGAGATACATACACAATAGCAGATGAGCTAGTGAACGTGGCGCACGTGGCTATGTATACTATGTTGAGCCATTCTCACAAGGATGATTTAGGTGATCTCACACAAAAAGGGAGCAAATTCCAAATCTGAGCATGTCTTGGGTACAAAAGAGTGCATGTACACATTAGTCCGACAGAAGGGTATTTGGTAAAGATGGCTTGAAAGATGTAAGGAGTGGTTCGAAGAGTATACAGATTTTGGTGAAAGTGTAGTGATTGATTTACGATATTAAACATTCTACACAGCTTGAAATATAATTAAACGAAAAAAGATATAGGTTATACTGCGCGTCAATGGAAAAATAACTTCTGTTCCTGGGACATAAAACGATAGAAAGGGAAGTGATTTTCTACAGTTGTTTCCATTTGTTGCCTCTTTGATGAATATTGTGGACACACACACAAAAAGTGATATTCATCTTCGATTGTGTCACAGACTGTACATAGTCGATCTGTTACAGGGAGAGGCCTGGGCTTATGGAACCTTCCTACCTCAATTGCCAGTGAATGTGAGCTGGTTCGTAATCTTGCCATGGCTGCGCGATATTTAGGTTGATGAATATTTAGAAGGTAAGGTTCCAATTCGAATATATGTTTTAATTTATCTGTAGGTCCGCAATTTATTCCCTCCTGAGCCTCTCTCACTGTGTTCTCTTTGTAGATATTCATTCCACTTCTGTAAGAACTGATCTCTCATTGTGCACATTAGTTGATTCCTTAGGAAAGGCTCACATCCATCAAATTCTGATGTAAAACCTGTCTGGTTGAATAGCGACAAAATCTTCCCCACCCAATTATTTCTTCTATTAGCTGCATTGTGAATGGAGAGATTTGCTGCATCTTTTAGTAGAAGTGGGATGTCCTCTGAACAAAGTCTGTCCCAATATTTCAACAGTCTTTCTTTCCACCACAGATGAAGAGGAAGTTGTCCTAATTCTCCTCGGACTGCCATGGTTGGTGTTGAGACCGGAACATTGAGAATATACTTTAGTATCCATAATTCTAATTTTTCAATGTCTTTATCTTCTTCAAAACCCCAGATCTCACATCCATAACACATGATTGGTACGATAAATATCTCATAGAGTTTGAGCATTACCAGGACTGGTGGATGTTTCAGACTTGAATATAGGTGTAACAGTGGAAAAAAGAAGCCTTTCGTGCTTGTTGGTAAATGTGTTGTCTTGCCTTATTGAATTTACCATTTTTTGAGAACCAGATTCCAAGGTAACAATATGTCTGTACTATTTCAAGATGAAAGTCTTTCCAAAGAAATGACCCCTGATACCTGCTTCTTCCAAATATACATATCTTTGTTTTTTCTGTATTTACCTCAAGTTTCCATTTCTGGCAAAATGACTGTAGAGAGATGTTTTTGAAGGCCTGCTGCACTTTGGGATAGCAATATAATGTCATCTGCATACATGAGTAGGTCCAAACGGGTGTTGAACATCTCAACCCCAGCATTGTTTATTCCCAGTTCCAGCTCTAGGTCACTAGTAAACAAGTTAAACAACAGTTGGCTCAAGTTGCAACCTTGTCTAACACCTTTCTGGCAGGGAAACCTGCTGTAGTTTTTCCCCTTGAAATTATCACACATGACTTTGCATTAGCATACATACAACATTGCAACAAGGTAAGCAATTGCTTGCTTATACCTAGTTGTGCCAGCTTCACCCAGAGAAGCGAGTGGTTCACAGAGTCGAATGCTTTTTTCGGGTCAACGTAACAGACATACAGTGGTACTTGTTTTCCTCTATAATGCTCAATTATAGTGTTTAATATGAATAAGCAGTCAGTCGTTCTTCTGTTCTTTCTGAAACCAAACTGAGATTCTGGTATTAATGCATGTTCCTCTGCCCACTCCGTTAGCCTTGTACTAATAATCGATGTAAAGATTTCCCCCATGCTGTTCAGAAGAGTGATTCCCCGATAACACGAGGGGTCTTGTTTGGAACCACCTTTATGTATTGGTGCAATAACTCCGACTGTCCAGATTTTAGGGTAAGTGCCAGAATGGAGAATAAGGTTAAATAATGTTGTAATGCAGGAGAGAAATAAACCATTCAGAACTTTATAAACATCCCCTGAAATACCATCCGGGCCAGGCGCTTTATTTGATTTCAGATGAAGAATTGCTTGTTTGGTTTCTTCCTCTGTTATATCATCATCCAATTCTGGGATATAAGGCGATGGAGTTGCAGACTGAGGGAGAGCTACAGAGCTGTCATTCTCTGATGACATGTTTAGATTTGTAAAGTGGGACAGAAAAGCTTTGGGGTCTATATTGGAAAATGTAGCCCTCCTCCTCTTCGCTCTAGAGATACATTTCCAGAATCTCTTGGGATCTGTCTTTTGAGCACTCACAAGCATTTGGTAATGCTGTATAGTTGCTGCTTCTCGCTTCCTTTTAACCATTTTCTTGTAGATCCTTTTCTCCCTGAAATAGTTTTCTCGATTGAACTGATTGTCTGAGAAATGTTCTAAGTTTTTTATTGCACTGTTGACAACTCTTTTTTTGGGTTTGCATTCTTCATCAAACCAGCGCTTTCTAGGAAATCTATTCTTATTGGTTCTTACTCTTGTGCCCCTAGGTTTCCTCAAACTCTTGCTCATCAAGTTTGTTAATAGTTCTGTAATTTGTTCTGCCCCGGCATCACAATCAATTGACTCTGAAGATAGTAAAGTTTTTAGCTCTAGAACACGTGTCACCACATCATTCTGTTCTAAACTGCTGATGAAATTCTCCTTGTTCCATCTTAGGAGATCCGTGAGGGGGAATTCACATATAGGCGATGGCTCCATTGATGGCAGCACAATTGCTGCTTTGAGCACAAATTTGAGAGGGCAGTGGTCTGAATATGGCTGCAGAGAACCAACTCTATAATCAGTAACATTACTTTGCTGACCAGCAGATATAATTGCATAATCTACCACACTCGAGCCTCTTGGAGTATAACAGGTAAATTTACCTGGGCTGTCCCCTTTATGTCTTCCATTCAGAATTCTTAGACGTAAACTGATACAAAGACCAATGAGTTGTCTTCCTTGTGTGTTCACTGATATGTCTGCAGATTGTCGTGCACTTTCAAAATCTTTTTCATAGGGTATGGGGGATGGAACAAAGAAATTTGTGTCTTTTTCAATGTAGTCATTCTTGCTGCCAGTTCTTGCGTTCATGTCCCCACAAAGTAAAATATTGCCTTTTCCAGCCATTTGTATCACTTCTGATTCAAAACATCTCCATTCTGCGTCATTGTGGCATGTAGCTGTTGAGCCCATTGGTGGTATGTAGCAAAAACATATAAACAACTCCTCATTTATTGGTGCAAAAGGTTTAGTTCTAATCCATAGTTTATCTTCGGCTTTCATTTCTTCAACCATTGTAACATTCTCGCTGAATCTGTTATGGATGTACAGCAGCATTCCCCCTGCACCTCTTTTAGCTTTATTATGTAAAAAAGATCTTGGCTTGTTCACACACTTGTAGTTGGGGACTTCATATTGAGAACACTCCGTAGTTTTTAACCACGTTTCAGAAAAACACACAAGGTCATAGTTTGAAGAAAAAACTTAAGATAATCATCGAATTTGTTTTTGGAAAGACCCTGAATGTTCTGATAAAAAATTTTAAAGAAATTTGTAGAATCAGTTTGCGAATGATTGTGATGTCGTTGGTGGCCACCCTGGCCTACGTCCTATTCATGAGAGGGGGTGCTAGGGGTAGCTATCTGGGGACAGATCAGCCTCAGAAGGCGACACATGAACTTTTCCATTGATAATTAATTTTCCATCTGAGTAGCGTATGAACGCTCTCTTTCCCTCAGATCTGGCTTTTTTCATGACATTTACTAGACTCCTTCTCTCTTCTCTCTCCTGCTTCGATAAATCCTCCATCACAAACATTCCAGACCCACTTAGCCTTTTGGCTTGCTTCAGGACATTTAGTTTGTCTTCAAAGCATTTCATTTTCACAATTACTAGTCGTCTCTTACTAGGGGTTGGTTTGCCCAGCCTTGTGACATACAGCGGAACTTGGTCTATTTGAAGTTTTTCCTTCAGGATTGTGCCACCTTCTCTCTTGTCTCCAGTACAGATTCATACTCATTCTCTTCCACATTTCCTAGCAGAATATTGCATCTCCTCTTCTCCTTCTCTTTCTCTCTTTCCAAACTCATTTGATTAGCCTTTAGAGATTGGATTTGACACTGCAGCTGCATTAACTGCTGCTGACGTGTCTTCAATGGGTAGGTTTGAGTTTTCACCAGGTGAGTGCTGTGTCGCAGTGCTTGGAGACTGCGCTGGCGAAGGACTTCCAACCTCTTTATCATTACGCAGACCACGTGAAGGAAAGTCAGAACTCAATTTTTCCTCTAACTCTTCTCCTCTCTGACTCTTAAACTCAGTGTTACAATACTGTTTGCCAATTGTTTTATTTCATCCCGAAAACTCTTTTCAAGATTTGTGAGAGCGTGGGCAATCATGTTTTGCACGATAGACTGCAGTCCTTCCTCTATGCCACTGTTTACTAGGGTTGTTGTACCTCATTGCGTGAGAGTAAATTCTAGTGATTCCCTAGACACATTACCCTTGTCAGTGGTACCATTCACACTGCTTATACAATTGGGTTGTAACATGCTTGTTTCTCGCCTACCAAAGTTGTCATGTTCATTGTGAGGCTCTAGTAGGCCACTGTTGTCAGGGTTGGTGCTGCTCTCTGAACCTTTTTGGCTAGCCAAAACTTCTTGATTCGTTGCGAGCCATTCACCGATTGGTTTTCCATAATACTTTATTGATTGCTTCCACTTCCTGGCCTGTATCGCTGACATGCTTTCAAACTCACTCGGTGTGACCCATTTTCGTTTGAACCTAATGCATCTCCCCAAATTATACTTGTTTGGTGTGTCTTAGTGTCCGTTCACGTTTTCTGCCACTAGGCGCGACAAGATCGAAACGGGTTCGGCGCTACATTTGCTTGATTTTAAAACTGGCGATTTTCGTAAAAACACTCCGTTCAAAAGTTATGGTGTGAAAACCAAGTGAACAAGCCAATATGCAAATTAGCACAGGCTTACCGCATGCTCCGGCGAATAATTGACATGACGCGTGCACGCTATATAGCCTGCCGGAGAGGCCGCATGCGCGATCGATCACACGTTGGCTTTTTCGATTGTTTTCAAGCTATATCTCTGGAACGCATGCACCACATTCATATCCATCTTCTCGTTGTTCAAAACCCATTGGTGCCACTCATTGGCCGCCTCGTAGCCTGTAGTGCGAGAACTGACAGACGGACAGACAGACAGAATGACAGAACGACTACTGTAACCCTCGCTGCGCATGCGCGCCGAGGGTTAACAATGATAAATTCTAGAACAAGAGAGGAGTTTTCTGATGGGACCTGGAGGGGTCCTTTGCTGCACATCTCCAGTCTCCCTAAGCAACTTCACTGTTCTCCACACTGTGCTGGTATCATCTTCCAGATGGGCTGCGATTTCTCTGTTGGTCATTCCTAACACTTCTCTTTGCCATATCATTCTCCACCTAAGGTCTGCCGAGTATGCAGACGCTCTCTTGGTTTCGTAAAAAACCATCGTGGGTGCCTGTAGGCATAACACAGAGGTTCAATTTAGGTACACTCCGTGTGAAACCTGCAACACATAGGTTCAATGTGGTTAATAGTTAAAACCTCTGATGTTGACTGGAGCTACTTACGACTGCTGTCAAGAGTCAAGATGAAAGCGCTAATAGGTGTGTCAAGGATGTCGACTTCACTCTGGAGACCGGCAGAGAAACTCTCGGACGACTCGACAGCAGTGTCGGCAGATATTTGAATCGTTGAGCACTTCCTGGTTCCCCCTCCTGGTGTGAAGGTGTGGGTTGCACTTAGGCTTGTGTAATCATCTGGAGCTGGAGTGAAAGAGCAAGCTTAGTTTACTACATGACAATTTTCAAAAGACAACTCAAGAGCATTGTATCAAAGGCCTTAACACTCTCAGTAGCCCATTTTAATGAGCTCTCTTGTCTGAGTTACTGTGTGAAATGTTCCTCACATGCGGCGGTTGATGGGAGGGTGTTGATAGTGACAACTACACTAGATGAGAGGGGGCCTCCACTCACAGAGGCACAGACTTCAATTGAACCGTCATCTTCTGTTACAGAGTACTGGGATGACTCTAGTGATATCTTGGGACCTATCAGAGAAATAAACGTGAAAAAGAAAGGATGTTAGACAACATCAATGGCAGAGAACAGCATCTCTTTGAGGTGTTGATGCTAAGTGGATGCTAGCCAGCATTGGTCAAGTGCTAAATATCCTTTTTGACTTCAATTACCATAAATTAACGGCCTTTTATCTAAAACAGATAAACTGCACCACGTGTGCCCATAAGCTTGTGCTTAAAAAATAGTAACCTAAATTCTATCCATTACCTTGTGTCCATATGGCTGGTAGGAAAAGAAGGATCAATAGCCACTGCTGGCTTGCCATTCTCAGCCAACCTCAACAAAATCTTTCTTCCTTTTAGCTACTCTTTCGAATAATAGCTATTCACAACTGCACACTATCGTCAACTAACAGTTCTGTGCCTCGTAGGTGTGCTTAGTACTGACTGTGCATTAGTCTGGCTACCAGCTGTATATGTATGCACCCGGCTCTGGAGGACATACACACATAATATTGCCTCAACTGCCAGTGTTGGTGTGCGGGGAATGTACTTATAAAGCCTCTCCTGTACCACAGGCTGCAAGGCAACAGCTCGGGATTGGCATAGTGCTTGCCAGGGCACGCTGGTATTCATTGGCACAACTGTGGGCACTGCAGAACCCACACACAAACATGCCATGCAGTCCCAGGATGTCAGTATCTGTACATGTATTGTACTGTATAGGTGAAACAGATAATTATGTCATTCTGGGTGGTCACCAAGAGACACGCAGGATGTGGTAAGGAGTATTAGATCATCTTCTGGCACATGTGGCTAGCAAAGTTCCCTTTTACCTTTCACATCATGCCAGAAGGTTGCACCCTATGATGATATGACATTTTTCATTGATGGATGTGCATTCCTCAAACAATACCATATATACCTACTGACAGGGAAGGTCATTTTCACAGGCTGCCTTTTATAGTTCTCGAAAGGTTGTTTTGGGTGCTTTGTATCTGTTAACGGAAGCGGCTGCTTCTCTGCTAGCTAGGGTGCGACACAAAAAGGCATCATAACACGTGGTAACAAAACTCTTGACTGCGCATGCATTTGGATTACAAGCCTATACACGCTGCCTGAGCCTGATACGCGATCTATATAGCCAGCGAGAGAACTCTCGTACATTCGGCAGGATTCGCTGCGTTCTTCTATGCTTAGCCAAGGCTGTACGGCTTTCCAATCTTTGTGCTTCCAAAATGCAAGTTTGTATTATAAACAGGCTAGGATGGCTCATGCAGATACAGTTATTGTGTGCTCGCTCCCGCTCGCCAAAAATGCATTCGCTATAGTTATTTAACGATGACAAGTGAGTAAAGGCCTGTGTTATATACATGTCGCCCCTCGACTAAACGCGAGAAAGTTGTCGCGCACTCGGGCTTTGCGTAATCGCGCCTTCTCGCCCTCTCTTCCGCGAATTCTCCAGCCAAGAATTTTATCAACAGTCAATAGGCATTCCATAAGACAATAACTCCAAATATGGGGTAAAACTTATAATAACCTTGACTATATTTTGACTTTACAGCACAGAGAAGTACAAATTAGGTAGGATAAATATCAGGATGGTAGTGCTGAAGGTCAGCTAGAAGTATACACTGACACATAGCTAACAGAACAAAACAAATATATTTAAATTAGTTCACATGAGAGAGGTGTCAAAGTTGGGGGAGATCAAGATGAAGAGAAGAGTGTGTCTCAACTTGAAATGCGAGGCTGATCGAGTTTGGTCAGAACCGAATGTGATGAAACTGAGATGTTAAATATGGGCGATGCTCTTTCAAACACTTTACGAATGGAACCGACATATAAGGGACCATCAATAGTGATACATGTGTTCAGAGAGACGATAGTTGGAAACGTAGTGGTTGAGAATGATTTTGGTGGCCGATTTGCACTCTCTGCTTCCAAGAAGCCAGTTGTAAAGGAAGATGAGGAACAGCAGATGGGTGAGCAGTAAAGTCAGTGTATAAAACGAACCAAAGTTTATGTAGAGAACGTTTTAGCCCGTGGCAGCGGAAGGAAAGTACATTTCATAAGTAATCAAGAACTTTGCATGCCTTGACCTTTGTATATCATAATACTCAGACCACGTGAGATCGCAGACACACGACACCAGAGGTCACTATGGATGGAAACCAATAGCGAGTGTTGTGCAGATGGTAGGAGTATCAGCATTGAGCATGCAGCAATCTAGGAGGACATAGAGAACATTGCATTTCTTAACCTTAAGAGCTAAACTCACAGGTAGTGCGCTCCATAGAGGTTAGCCTTTTAATTTAGATCATATGTTACAGAAGATCAAGTTTAGTGGTTGATATAATTCATATGTACTCATAATATTCGGACATACTCATAGCAATATGTCTTAAGTGACTCCAGAGAGAATCATTTCGATTATGCGATGCTAGTAGGGGTTTTGCACATATTCCTCTAGCAACTCTTTGCCACGTGCCACCGATGCCTCTCAGAAAAAGAAACTGCTGCAGAGAGTGTTCTTAAGGAGAGCTCGAGCCAGCAACTCATCCCTCATCACCAATACTGTGTCTTTGAGCCAGTTTCCAGGATCTGCATAGTCGACGTTCAGTGAGACTATTGCTCTTTTCATTACCAATAACTGTGTCTAAATCAAACTAATGTGTGATGAAAGGTCTGAGAGGAAGAGACTGCTCCATATCACCTACACTCATTTTCAGTTTATGATAGAGAGCCATAGCCAAAGATACGACCCAAACATTACTTGTATACCCAAACAAGTTCAGTTTTCTTGATTCGTATTTGTGCTGGAAAATTTCAGCCAGGACAATTATTGTACCATCATCAGTTAGTCCTCCAACAGATGAAATAAATTTATCCACATTGCATAATCGAAATATGAAGAGCATACGAATACTGTTTAGTGCCAAATTAATCTTTATCAGGGAGGAGTTGTGATGAAGTGCCCCAGCTATAGCTGCTGCTCCACTACCACCAATACTGTTGCTCCCCAGATCTATGACCTTAAGGGTGGAGTTCTGATGAAGAGACTCAGAGAGGGCTGTTGCTCCTTCATCACGAATCCTATTATAAATGGGCTAATTGCAATTCACAGAGTGTAGAGCTGTGATGAAGGGTCTGAGAGAGAGAGGCTGCTCCACTCTCACCTATAATTTTGACGTTCAATTTCAGTACACAAATGGCGGAATTCTGACAGAAAGCCTTAGCCAAAGATACGACCCCAATATTACTTACACCCGAGAAGTCCATTTCTTTTAATACATACTTATGTGGAGAATTCCAGCCAGGACAATTGTTCCATCATCAATTAGTCCTCCAACAGATCTAATAAAATCTGTGTCCTCATTGAATCGAAATACGAAGAGCATCTTTGACTCAAGGCTTTGACATCATCATCTGTAGTTAGTCTACATGGAGCTTCCTTCACTGACTTCTGTTTTCCAACCACCTTTCTTCAAGTATAGGCTCATGGGTAACAGATTGCAATAATTCCTGTAGTTCATGTGCAGTAATTTCAGAAGACAACATTGAAAAGTGCTGCAGTGTAGTACTTTTCTTTATAAAGGTGAGCAAATATCCATAAGCTTTTTTATTTATTTGACATCTCTCACATTTTAATTCTACTCTTTTAAATGGCAATAAGTTGTCAGTGGCCATTGCTCTAAGAATATAGGCTCCATTTTCATTATACCAGAGCAAAAATTCAATTTCAGTTCCTTGAGGCAGGTAGTTGAGGAGAGATAATCTGCAATAGTTTGACTCTCCTTTTCTTCCAGAGTTACGCAATTAATTGTCAGAGAACAAAGTGAAACCGGAAGATGAATACTCCCCATTTGTGAATAAAAAGTACATTAAATGTAGGGAAGTCTGGACATGACACCTGCAGGCCTAGCTTCAGAGATAGCTGATGAAGATTACACTTTGAAACTCAACGAAAAAAAATTCAAAATTGGTGTTTTGGTATTCCGACACATAATGTAGTCCTATTACATTACCTTTAATTGAGCCTGCTGTTCCTTTACAAAGCAGTGTAATCTTCTCTTTACTTAAACCCCTCCTTCCGGTCAGTTATTCTTGTATTATCAAGTCACACATGTTTTTGTGCACCTCATTCTGAGACACTACACAAAATCCATTTTTTTCTCTACTTCACGATACTTTGGACATCTCACAGCATATATCTTAATATCCTCAGAGAGAGTCATTTTGTTTATGGATGAGTTTTGTGCTAAGGCCTGGACAAATTCACTAGCGACTCTTTCAAGAATGCCAATGATGCCTATCAAAGAAAACTTCTGCAGAGAGTGGTTCTGGAGGAGAGCTCGAGCCAGGGCAACTGCTCCCTCATCACGAATACTGTTCCATGACAAGTTTAGGATCTGGAGAGTAGAGTTCTGATGAAGGGACTTAGCGAGGGCTATTGCTCCTTCATTACCCAATACATGTTATGGAATAAGTTCAGTTCCAGAAGGGTAGAGTTCCGATGAAGGGCTTGTGATAGAGATACTGCTCCGTTACTACCAACATATTTTCTGCCAAATCAATTTTATCAGGGAAGAGTTGTGATGAAGTGGCCTCAGCTAAGGCTACTGCTCCACTATCACCAATTCCTGTGGCACCGATCTAAAATCTAAGGTGGGGGAGGGAGTTCTGATGAAGAGAAACCTGAGCAAGGGCTATTGCTCCTTCATCACCAATACAGTTTAAAAGAGTAAGCCCAGTTCAAGAAAGGGTAAGAGTTACGATCGAAGGGCTTGTGATAGAGATATCTGTTCCCGTTGCTACAAATACTGTTTCTTTGCAAATCAAATTTTACCAGGGAGAGTGTGATGAAGTACCCTAGCTAAGCTGCACTCAGATCACCAATTACTGTTTCCCCCCCCAGACCTATAATCTTATATAGGGTGGAATTTCTGGATAAAGAGACTCAGAGAGGGCAACTGTCCTTCATTACCAATACTATTACCAATACAGTTACATGTTAAGTACAGTTCCTGAAGGGTAGAGTTCTGATGAAGGGACTGAGCGAGGGCTATTGCTCCC